AAAATAGAAATAAATTATCTGGACAACTAAAAAAATATATATAGAAAAAACTAGCTGGGCATGGTGGTACATGCCTGTAGTCTTAGCTACTCGGGAGGCTGAGGCAGGAGGATCGCTTGAGCCCAGGAGTTTGAGGTTGCTGTGAGCTAGGCTGACGGACTCTAGCCCGGGCAACAGAGCCAGACTCTGTCTCAAAAAAAAAAGAAAAAAAACTTTTTTTATTTTTGTAGAGACGATGGTCTTGCTACGTTGACCAGGTTGCTCTTGAAGTTCTGTGCTCAAGCGATCCTCCTGCCTCAGCGCCCCCAAAGTCCTGGGATTCCAGATGTGAGCCACCACCACGCCCAGCCTCCATTTTTAAAGTAGTTCAAAAACTTAAAAAAAATTTTTTTTCTGTGTGAAAATTATATATTTAAATTTCAGCATCCCAGTAAGTAAGGTTATGAGCACAACCGTGTTCATTTGTTTATGTATTGTCTACAGCTGCTTTCCTGCTACTGTGGCAGTTTTTTGTGTTTTTTTTTTTTTGAGACAGAGTCTCGCTCTGTTCCCTGGGCTAGAGTGCCGTGGCGTCAGCCTAGCTCACAGCAACCTCAAACTTCTGGGCTCAAGTGATCCTCCTGCCTCAGCCTTCTGAGTAGCTGGGAGTACAGGCATGTGCCACCACACCTGGCTAATTTTTTCTATTTTTAATAGAGATGGGGTCTCTCTCTTGCTCAGGCTGGTATAGCAGAATTTAGTTGTGATGGAGACCCTGTGGCCCAGGAATCCTAAAATATTTACCACCTGGCCCTTTACAAAGAAAGTTTGCCAACCTCTGCTATTTATTTTGCCAAGAAGGATTCTATTTGGGCCACCTATGGGGGTGTGAGGTCAGTAAAATTTGGCAGCTAGTTATGCAGAGTGGGTGACAAGGGTCAGATCCCTGAAGGGGAGAGCTCTTTCGAACATTTTTTTTTTTTTTTTTTGAGACAGAGTCTTCACTTTGTTGCCAGGCTAGAGTGAGTGCCATGGCGTCAGCCTAGCTCACAGCAACCTCAATCCCTGGCTCAAGCAATCCTTCTGCCTCAGCCTCCCAAAGTAGCTGGACTACAGGCATGCCCACCATGCCCGGCTAATTTTTCTATATATTTAGTTGGCAAATATTCTTTCTATTTATAGTAGAGACGGGTTTCACTTTGCTGCAGGCTGGTTTCGAACTCCTGACCTCGAGCAATCCGCGCCCTCGGCCTCCCAGAGAGCTAGGATTAAGGGCGTGAGCCACCGCGGGGCGCCTTCGAACATTTTTAAGACCATGGAGCATTACAATATGCCTCTTTCTTCCTAAAGTTAAAATGCAAAATTATTTTGAATACAAAATATATGATACAGAATTGAAAAGGTGCAAAAAGGCAGGCCCCCTCTCTGGTCTTGCAGTTAGAATACTAACAACTATGCTTGACAGGGTCAGGATGGGCAGCAAATGGCGTTCTGCCAGCAGGGAGTCCTGGTAGTCAAGCCACACCCTCCATTAGTAAGATTTCCTGACAGAAGCACAATCCTAAACCCAGTGTATCAGAAGCTTGAGATCAGCAGGGCTATGTCACTCTTCTGCAGGTTCCCAGCATTCTAAGGAAGAAATCACCAGATTTGCTGAGTATCAGGGTCCACCAGAAGCTGCAGAAATAATAAAAACATTGCCTCAGAATATAGGAAGGAAGGCCAGGCCTGTAATCCTAGCATCTGGGAGGCCGAGGCGGGCGTTTGGGCTCAGGAGTTCGAGACAGCCTGAGCAGAGCAAGACTTTCGTACTACTAAAAATAGTAGAAATTAATTGGCCAACTAAATATATAGGAAAATTATCCGGGCATGGTGGCACATGCCTGTAGTCCAGCTACTTGGAGCTGAGGCAGGGAGATCGCTTGAGCCAGGAGTTTGAGGTTGCTGTGAGCTAGGCTGGATGCCACAGCACTCTAGCCCGAGCAACGAGTGAATTACTGTTGAGATTCGTGTCTCCAAAAAAAAAAAAAAAGAAATATAGAAGGAAACTTGTGTCTCAAGAAGAAATTAAATTTAGCCAACATGGAAGTCCAGAGTAATGCATGATGGCTGCTATTTGTCATCATACAAAAATTACCTTTACAAATATGATTTCTAAAATGAAAAAATTAACTATAGTTTTCTATTCCCATGGAACTATCAAATTGCGCCTCTATTGGCTATCCTAATTGACAATCCTACGCCACAAGGTGTTTGAATTTCTGGTTCTCCACAGCATTCAGCCTAACACAATGCATTATCAACCCCTTTTGATCTTCTAATGGAGGTGAAGAATGCTTTGGCATTGTAACTGTAATTTGCATTTTGCTGGTTCTCAGAGATACTTGGAATTATTCATAGCCATCTTTTTTTTTTTTTTTTTTTGAGACAGGTCTCACTTTGTTGCCCCCAGGCTAGAGTGTGCCGTGGCGTCAGCTAGCTCACAGCAACCTCAATCTCCTGGCAAGCGATCCTCCTGCTCGCCTCCCGAAGTAGCTGGACTACAGGATGCGCCACCATGCCGGCTAATTTTTTCTGTTATATAGTTGCCAATAATTTCTTTCTTTCTTTTTTGTTGGTAAGAGACGAGGTCTCGTCAGGCGGTTTCGAACTCCTGACCTTGAGCAATCCGCCGCCTCGGCCTACAGAGGTGAGCCAGCCGCGCCGGCCAGAGAGGATACTATTAAAACACAAACAACATCCACTTGATTGAGATGTATTTCACATACAGACCATTACCAGGAGACTGTTTTTGGTTGTCACATGTTGAAGGGGCATGCTACTTGGACATCTAGTAGGTGGCGGCCAGGGATGCTGCTAGAACCCCACACATGCACTGGGACGCCCCGAGAGAACACAATGAGAGATTTTTTTTGATACTGATTCACTCTGTTTGCCCAGCTAGTAGTGCCGGTGTGTCAGCCTGAGCTACAGCAACCGAAACTCTGGCTCAGCGATCCCCTGCCTCAGCCTTTGAGTAGCTGGACTCAGCATGCACCACCACTGCCGCCTAATTTTTTCTATATTAATTAAGTCAGCTAATTTCTTTCTATTTGTTTGTTGTGAGTAGAGCGGGTCTCGCTTTGCTCAGCTGCTGGAACCCTGAGCTCTAAATGACCCCGCCTCACCTCCCGAGTCTAGGATACAGGCGTGGAGCACTGTGCCGGGCTGAGAAAACTGGCTCGTGATAGGCACGCATGCTAAGCAGCCCACTCATTCTTCTATGTCACTCTGTTTGAGCAGGAGCACTTTTTTCTGAGCCTGGTCTTTATGCATCCGGTCTAGAGGCTGGATCAGCAGCCAGGAGAAGCCGGTGGCGACCTGGAAGCACCAACGTAGGAAAGGAGACAGCAGATACGGGGACTGCACAGCCGTGTGTGCCTGAGACAGTCGGAGCCAGTCGGCTGGAGAGACAAGCTTGTGGCTCCATGCTGGTGGGATCCTGAGCTTCCAGGCCTTGAGACTGCGTGAAGACTTTGGTTTTGTCTAATGAGAAAACAGAAGCTCAGGGAGGGTCTGAACAAAGGAGGTACGTGATCTGACTCAGGTTTAACAAGGGGCCTTGCCTGGGTGGGACAGACTTGGGGCAAATGTGGAGCAGGAACTGAGTGACGAGTTGACTGCAGTGTCCAGGCAGAAGTGACGGCGCTGCGTCGGATGTGCAGTGTGGTGTGACAATGTGTTAGGATAGAATAATATGCTATTACGTTTCCCCTTAGCCTTTTTCTGTCATTTATGAACTTCGTGTTTTTGAAGAGTCCAGGTTAGTTTTTTTTTTTTTTGAGAGCAGAGTCTCGCGTGTTGCCAGCTGAGTAGTGCCATGGCGTCAGCCTAGCTCACAGCAACCTCAAACTCCTGGGCTCAAGCAATCCTCCTGCCTCAGCCTCCCGAGTAGCTGGGGCCTCCCGAGTAGCTGGGACTACAGGCATGCGCCACCATGCCCAGCTAATTTTTTCTATATATATTAGTTGGCCAATTAGTTTGTTTCTATTTATAGTAGAGACAGGGTCTCGCTCTTGCTCAGGGTGGTTTCAAACTCCTGACCTTGAGCAATCCACCCGCCTCGGCCTCCCAGAGTGCTAGGATTACAGACGTGAGCCACCACGCCCGGCCCAGGTTAGTTTTTAAAAATTGTTTTGGTAGAATGTCCCTCAATTTGCATTTCCTCATAATTATATCCAGATAATCCATTTTTGGCAGAAATTCCACAAAGTGGTGGCCTGTCCTTCTCGATGTCCCCTTTACTAGAGAGGTTGGCTTTGATCACTAAGTTAAGGGGGTGTTCACCAGGCTTCTCCACTGTAAATACTGCTTGCCCTTTACAGGAAGAAATAGCTTGTGAGGAGGTACTTCAAGACTATGCAGATACCATCTACCTCATCAAACTTCCATCCACATATTTTTGCATCACTTTTTAACTTTGCAACTCCATTATTTACGTTTATGTACTTGCCATTCCACAGTAAGGCTTTTCCCTTCTCCTCTTTTACTTATTTATTCATTTATTTATAATCAATGTGGACTCTGGATTTCTCTGTTATCCAGTGGGTTATAATCTGGAATTCTCATTATTTTGTTATTCAAATCATTCCAGATCTGGCCGGTGGGAGCCCTTGCAAGCTGGCTCCTGTATGAGAATCTATTTGCAAGATAGGACTTCCTGGAGGGTTGGATGGGCCGTGTATGTGAGAAGGAGGAGGCTGGGCTTCCTTCTTTTGGCAAATAATTGACCGGAACTGAGGATAAAGCTGTGATAAAAGCAGACAAAAGTTCCTGCCTTCATGGGGCTCATGGTCTTGTGCAGGTGGCACTTTGTTTTTGGCCCAAGCCACTAGGGAAGTCATGGAGCCAATTTTAAGGGGAATCAGGGTCTGGCCAGGTTAAGTGGAGACACCTGACAGATCAGCATCTGCTACCCCCCCCTTCCTCCTTTATCCCCCTCTGCATTTAACAGCTTCCTACTCTTCTTCTTCACTCAACAGCCGGGACAATGCAGACTCCTCTGACCGTTCCTGTGCTGCGGCTTCCCCGGGGCCCTGATGGCTTGAGCCGAGGCTTTGCGCCCGATGGACGCAGGGGCCCCTTGAAGCCTGACATTTCAGGAACCCAGGATTGTCCCATAGCTCAAGAATCTCCGGAGTCCCAGGAACAGCAGGCCCGAGCCACCCTTCGGGAGCGCTACCTCCGCAGCCTGCTGGCCATGGTGGGTCGTCAGGTGAGCTTCACACTGCACGAGGGTGTGCACGTGGCTGCCCACTTTGGAGCCACTGACCTGGACGTGGCCAACTTTTACGTGTCACAGCTGCAGACTCCCATAGGTGTGCAGGCTGAGGCGCTGCTCCGATGTAGTGACATCATTTCATATACCTTCAAGCCATAAAGATGTTATTATGTTCACCTGTCTGCTCGAGGCTTAGCCACTGTATCCCAGGCCTCCAAATGTTCCCAAGCCAGGAACTCTGGGCCCCCTAGAGTTCTGAGCTCCCTGGAATTTTGAGCCAACCTCCAAGCAACTCTGGATACCTGAGACCGCCAGGATCTAGTCTGTAAAAGTCTGCAACCCTAGGAATTCTAGATCCTGTTGAAAGGAATGCTCTACCTCACAGAACTCTGAACTCTACAGAAATATGGGCCTGACCATTTCCTGAAGACTGGGGTGTGGGAGAATAAGGGAAGGCAAATTGCAGAGAAGTTGTTTATTGACGAGATTGCAAAATTCAACCACCCTGAAGGTACACTCCCCAATGCTCCCCTCCTGCTAAAGAACCAATTATCCCAGGAAAATTCGACTCCTGTTTTTTTTTTGTTTGTTTTTTGTTTTAAGTATATCCACGTGGACGGAGTCATATTTGCTAGGTGGTGGGGTGGTTATCCAAGGGCTGAATCTGGTGGAGCTGGGCCGAGTAGGAGAGGAGCCCAGATAAAGGTGTAGGGACTGGACAGCCGCTAGCCTCCGGGAATGGCTGGAGCAACCTGCATGCCAGGATTGGGAGATGAGGACTTGATTTCATTTTGGGGTGGGCGGACTCGCGCCTTTACAAAGCGAGGGGTGTGGCTCGTGCTGGGTCACGTGGCTGTGCACTAGCTCTCCTCCCTTCACCCCACCTCTGGGTGGTGTAGACTGCGCACGAGAGATAGCAGATTCGCTTTCCCCTCACTCTGGTGGATGGTCAGACCCTGTGCGGCGGCGCCACTGAGAAAAGGCTGAGGATTCGTGATTAATGTGAAGCTTCACCTTTCCTCCATTTCGCCGCAGCCTCGTAGCGTGGCTGTCTAAGTCACTAGCTTCACTTAGCCCCTTGTTACGAGTAATCTTTCAGCAGATCATTTAAAAAGAAAGCAGTTTGTGCCCCCTTCCGCAGTCCCTTCAAGTTCAGAATGTAAGCGAAGCCTTACGCTAAGGAAAGGTAAGGTGTGTTGGGTCGCAGTCGCGAAAGTGCGGCGGCCGACGACGTTGAATGGGACAGGTGCTTAGCCGCAGCCGCCAGCCGCCCTTTCACGACTCCGCCTCTGGCGAGTCGGCGGCCCAGCCCTCCAGTTGCCTTGGCAACCACGTGCTCGCTCCGCCCTCAGTCCCCTTTTACGGGTTCAGCTCCGCTTCTGGTCGGCGGCCGAGCTGGGACGGCGTGGCGAAAATGCGGAGAAGGATGTTAAGCTATCGGACGAGCCCCGGGGGGCGTGGCTCGGGCTCACGCAGGTCCACATCCTGTCCTGGTGAGCTGCCTTCACCACCGGTGTTCCGGTTGGCAGATTCGTCTCTCGCCTTTGGAATTTCCTCCTTTCCCCGTTTTTTGTTTTTTTTTAATCCCTTATGGGTTCATATGTATTTTATTATTGTAATTTATATCTCAATTATATTTTATGCAACGCTACCCAGAGACAGAGGGTTACTGCTGTGCCTGCACTCCGCAAACGGAAGACCAGCGACTAACTGGCTAGGGTGCCGAGGCTGCGTCTCCAGGCACAGGACCCCTCTGGCAGCATCCGTCGCCTGTGCTCGTGTGTCCACCGCAGTCCTCTCGCCCCTCCCGCTCCATCCCGTTGCCTTTCATCAGCTAACCTAGCGTCAGACACTTCCATCCCTGTCCTCTGTATTCCCCTCTCCAGTACCTGGGCCTGTGACGAATGTGTGCGAGCCCGAAACGAGTTATCTACACGGGGCGGGCGGGGGCCGGGGGCGGCTCGGGTTCGCGCCTGCGCGCTGCTCTGGGAGACCGCGTCCCCCTCGCCCCGCCCCTCGAGCTCTGCGGTTTTGGCTCTGCAGATTCGCTGCTCACGTTTCTTTTCGCCGCGGCTCTTCCTGCTCTTTGTTTCCCGCTTCATGTCACCCGCGAGGCAACTCCACCTGCAAATCGCTTAAATCTATTTCTGCCTGTCTTCGTGCGCGGCGGGCTCGCGGGCCTGTAGCGAAAGTGCGGCCGCGAACGAGCAGGCGCGCGCGGGGCTGGAGGAGGCGCGCTCGGGCTCCCGGCGGCGACGACTACAACGACGCGGAGAGCGGACGGAGGCGGCGCCTGAAGCAGCGGCGGAGCCCATGCCCCGGGACGGCGGGCGGGCCCGGAGAGACAAGCCCGGGGCCCGGGGCATGTCCCCGGGGCCCCCGTGAGGAGGTGGCGGCGGCGGCGGCGATGGAGATCCCGCCGCAGGAGGCGCCGCCCGAGCCGGGCGCGGACGGCGACGCCGAAGAGGCCCCCGCGGAGGCCGGGTCTCCCAGCCCAGCATCGCCCCCCGCCGACGGGCGCCTAAAGGCCGCAGCCAAGCGCGTTACATTCCCGTCCGACGAGGATATCGTGTCCGGAGCAGTGGAGCCCAAAGACCCTTGGAGACACGGTAGCTACGGCGGTGTAGCGGGGGCGGGTTCAAGGGGACCTGGGAGTCGGGAGGGATCGGTGCAGGGCCCTGCTCGGAGGTGGCGCTAAATAAATTGCGCCTAATGATGATTTAAGGAGACAGTTGTTAGTTTAGAGCCAGAGGCTATTAAAGAGGGGTGGCTATAGGGTTGGGAAAGTGAAAAGTATCTAGTTTATGCGTCCCCCCTGCCCGCGCGCTGAGGGTGATTGTTTTAGGATTTAACGGTGGACAATTGTTAAATCCTAAAAGCGATAGGCATTAAAATTTGGCGGTTTGTGAGATTGGGAGGGTGGCAGCCTTCGAGTTCCTAGTTTCCCCAGAGAAGGATAGAGAGGAGAGGAAGAGTGGGTCCACACTGGCCCCAAAAGGGCAGTTGGAAGAATTTGAGGGGCACATGGGGATGGAAGGAAATTAAATTGCTGGTCTGCAAGCCTCGGAGTAAGGAGTGGTGGTGTTGGTCACATCCTTGGCCGAAAAGAGGAAGAGGAATGTAAACCTGGACTGTGGCTGAAAGGAATTGATAAAAGGGAGTAAAGGTAAACTCCCAGAAAAGGAGTAGAGCTCATGGTCCATTTGTAGTTGGGTGAGGGAGTCAGAGGCAGTGTTAGATCTAGGTATTAATAAGAAAAGCCACTGCATGCCACCACCTCCTCACAGAAAAGGAAGCAGAAAGAAGGCATGTCAGTATTTCAGGAGCAGAGGAAGTCTGGGGCCTGGCTATGGAAGCGTTTTCTCTTTCCTTCCTGAGAAAGAGTTGGGGAATGTTATCAAGTCAGGAATTTGGAGTTTCTGGCCAGTAACAGTGGAGAGCATTGAAGTTTGGTGGCTTGAGGTGTTGGGAGAGGGGGAAGTCCGTGGACTGTAGGCCCTTTGGAGAAGGTGAGGTCAGTGTTGGAGCTGAAAGGGCGGCTGGAGGGATGTGTTGGATCTAGAGGGTTGGGAAGGTGGAAAGTCACTCAGGAGATGGAGAGCAGTATTGAATCTGTTTCCTGGTGGGAGCAGTCTGTCAGTCTTGCTGGGGTGGAGCCGGTGGGGAAAGGGGAGAAACCATTGCCACACTGTGGTCAGTGGAGGAATTGGTAGCTTTGATGTGAGGGTGGGAAGCATGGTATCTGGAAACTGAGCCCACAGGGAGCCTGCCATAAATGCCAATTTGCCTAGTTACTGTTAAAGAGACTGTGGTTAAATTAAGACCGTTGGCATTGGGAGCCAGCCAAGGCCTTGTGTTCTAGACCCTAGGGATAGGTGGTTGGTTTTGCGTTGTAGGGCTTGGGGGACTGGGGCTGAAGAAGGGAAGAGTGAGAATGGGCCCTGGCCGTGTGTGTCGCATGGTATCGAGTCCAGGGAGTTCAGAGTAGGAAGGGAAAAAGACCTGGAGAGACAAGAGCAGGGGGGTCAAGAGCAGAGGCTCCAGGTCAAATCCTGACTCTGCCACTTACTTGCTTCCTGACCTCTGGCTGGTTACCTAACTCCTCTGAGCCTCAGTTTTCCCATCTGTGAAGTAGGTGACAATACTCCTGCCATAGGGTTTAGGAGAGGACTAGATGAAATCCCGTGTGAAAAGTGATTGGCCAGGGTGCGCCTTCAAGAAGTTGCAGTTATTGTTATCAAGGTAGTGTTGGTCATTTTAGGGGCCAGGATGGGGGAGTTAATTCATGGGGTGGGGGGTAAAGTGCACATCCCCAGAGAAAGTTTGGCTTTGAATAAACTGCTTTTCCTTTCTGAGTCTCCTGGATTGTTTGTTTTGTTTTTTTTGAGACAGTCTCGCTTTGTTGCCCAGGCTAGAGTGAGTGCCGTGGCGTCAGCCTAGCTCACAGCAACCTCAAACTCCTGGGCTCAAGCGATCCTCCTGCCTCAGCCCCCCAAGTAGCTGGGACTACAGGCATGCGCCACCATGCCTGGCTAATTTTTTCTATATATATTAGTTGGCCAATTATTTTCTTTCTATTTATAGTAGAGACGGGGTCTTGCTTTTGCTCAGGCTGGTTTCGAACTCCTGACCTCGAGCAATCCGCCCGCCTCGGCCTCCCAGAGAGCTAGGATTACAGGCGTGAGCCACCGCGCCCGGCCTTCGAACATTTTTTTAAAGGACATGGACGCATTACAATATGCCTCTTTCTTCCTAAAGTTAAAATGTAAAAATTATTTTGAATACAAAAATATATGGTACAGAATTGAAAAGGTGCAAAAAGGCAGGCCCCCCTCTCTGGTCTTGCAGTTAGAAATACTAACAACTATGCTTGACAGGGGTCAGGATGGGCAGCAAGATGGCGTCTGCCAGCAGGGGAGTCCAGGTAGTCAAGCCACACCCTCCATTAGTAAGATTTCCTGACGGAAGAGACAATCCTAAACCCAATGTATCAGAAGCTTTGAGATCAGCAGGGCTATGTCTCACTCTTCTGCAGTTTCCCAGCATTCTAAGGGAAGTAAATCACCAGATTTGCTGAGGTATCAGGGTCCACCAGAAGCTGCAGAAATAATAAAAACATTGCCTCAGAAATATAGAAGGAAGGCCAGGCCTGTAATCCTAGCACTCTGGGAGGCCGAGGCGGCGGATCTTTGGGCTCAGGAGTTCGAGACCAGCCTGAGCAAGAGCAAGACCCCGTCTCTACTAAAAATAGTAAGAAATTAATTGGCCAACTAAAAATATATATAGAAAAAATTAGCCGGGCATGGTGGCACATGCCTGTAGTCCCAGCTACTTGGGAGGCTGAGGCAGGAGGATCGCTTGAGCCCAGGAGTTTGAGGTTGCTGTGAGCTAGGCTGGATGCCACAGCACTCTAGCCCGAGCAACAGAGTGAGATTCTGTCTCCAAAAAGAAAAAAAAAGAAATATAGAAGGAAACTTGTGTCTCAAGAAGAAATTAAATTTAGCCAACATGGAAGTCCAGAGTAATCATGATGGCTGCTATTTGTCATCATACAAAAAAATTACCTTTACAATATATGATTTCTAAAATGAAAAAAAATAACTATAGTTTTCCTATTTCCATGGAAACTATCAAATTGCCCCTCTTTGGCTATCCTAATTGACAATCCTAGCCACAAGGGATTTGAATTTCTGTTTCTCCACAGCTTCACCAACACAATGCATTATCAACCTTTTGATCTTTCTAATGGGAGGTGAAGAATGCTTTGGCATTGTAACTGTAATTTGCATTTTGCTGGTTCTCAGAGATACTTGAATTATTTCATAGCCATCTTTTTTTTTTTTTTTTTGAGACAGAGTCTCACTTTGTTGCCCAGGCTAGAGTGAGTGCCGTGGCGTCAGCCTAGCTCACAGCAACCTCAAACTCCTGGGCTCAAGCGATCCTCCTGCCTCAGCCCCCCAAGTAGCTGGGACTACAGGCATGCGCCACCATGCCTGGCTAATTTTTTCTATATATATTAGTTGGCCAATTATTTTCTTTCTATTTATAGTAGAGACGGGGTCTTGCTTTTGCTCAGGCTGGTTTTGAACTCCTGACCTCGAGCAATCCGCCTGCCTCGGCCTCCCAGAGTGCTAGGATCACAGGCATGAGCCATAGCACTGGGCCCTGGATTGTTTCCTGTGCAAATGGAGGTGCTGATTTCCACGTTGGGGTACTTGTGAAGATTAAACAAGATAGTCATGGAAATTTCTGCCACATAAATAGCAGCTGTTACCCAGGCAGATTTGTGGGTTTTTTTTTTTTTTTAATGGGTAGTTTTGGAGAGGCAGTGAAAGCATTTGAGAGGAAGGAAGAATGTGAAGAAAGAAGGTGCTTTGGTGTCTGGAGGAGTTGAGAGGAGGGTTGCTGGGTGGTCTGCCGTGGGCGAGGGGTGGAGGTGGTGACACCTTCCAGGCTGCAGGAGCCTCTTATTGCCAGCAGTTTAGACTGGTCAGGACGCACACTCTGGAGGGGGCGGTGGGTCCGGAGAGGAGAGGTGATGACGTGGTCTGGACTGGAA